GCTAATTTGGGCAACAGGGAGGGAGCACTTCCTCCAATTTCACGTACAAAGAGCCCATCTTTGCTGTCCATAACCTCAGCACCCTTTTGTCCCTGTTCCCAGTTGTATAGGCCATCTCCCCCAGCTCTCCCCCCTAGACCAGAGCCGCTTGTACCTCCCAGACCCGTAGGAATCCATCCACGCCACCAGTGGCCAGGAGGGTGTGGTCATCACTGAAGCACACAGCCTTCTGCAGGGCGTCAGGACTGGTATCCGTCTGGACACGGTGCAGGGTTTCCACAGTCACTTCATTTGTCTCCTTGCGTGTGTCACTGGTGCTACCAGGCCCACTGGCCGGGGGGGCCTTGCGCCTCCTGGGACCCTTCTCATCGCCACCTGCAGGCAGAATGAAATTGGTAAGACGGTTCTAGGCCCATCTAACTACTCCCTGCCAAACTACTGACCCAAATCACCTTGCTAGGCTTTTCAACCCCATTTATTTGGCCCATAGCAAACTGTTCAGAGAACACTGAACTAAGCTGAGAGGGCACTCCGGACCCTACCAGCTGTGCCCTATAGCCCTGCACACAGGCCTTCTGTAAGTTCACCTTCCTATCCTGCAGTTCTGCTAAGATCTGAAGAAACTGGAGCGTCTTCAGGAAGCACTGCAGGATCGTCTTCTCTGGGGTGGTATTTAATCACTGTGGGGAAATGTTTATCTATTTCTGTAGACTGCATATTTTAACAAGCATTCTATACATGATGGTGGAAAGTGCCGCCAAGTCACAGCCGACTTCTGGCAACCCCGTATGGTTTTCAAGGCAAAAGATGTTCAGAGCGGGTTTGCCATCACCTGCCTCTGTGTTGCAACCCTGGTCTTCCTTAGTCTTCCAGCCGAATACTGATCAGGGCCAACCCTGCTTAGCTTCTGAGATCTGATGAGATTGGGCTAGTCTGGGCCATCCACATCAGAGTATTTTATACACAGGAGTTTTCTTTAAACCTTCTTGCGTGCCCTGGGCTCTCTGGGTGGGATGACTTACAAGATTTTTTTTTTTTTTTAAAAGGTAACTGCTAAGCTCTCACTTGCTTTACTGGGGGCAGAATCACCAGTACCCCCTTTCTGACTGGGTTGCTGCAGGTGGAAGTTCAGGATGTGGCAGGTGGCATCCTGCCCTGCGGCAATGATGTTCCCTGCCAATGCCATGGTCATGGTGGCCCGTGTCTCTGTGTCATGTGCGTGCAATAGTGAAGCAGACAGGTCACCTCCCCTCCAGTCCAGTTGCAAGAAATGCTAGGAAAGAGAGATGGAGAAGAGATTTAGGGGAACAGCTCGCAAAACACACCAAAAATAACTTCCATAACCAACCCCTTTGTATTTCCAGGGATTTCCAATTTTGCCCTGTTCCCCTCAGTCATAATGGGGAAGAGGGCTTGTACCACACAACTGCCAGCCCCTCCCCCACCGCCACTACGGCACTATCCCAGCCTCCTGCTTCTGGACCCTGAAACTAGAAGGGCAGCAGCAGGGAATCCACACGTCAATGGCCTTTGGGGAGAACAGCAGTTTCAAAGCACTGCAGTCAGAATCTCTGAAACTGCCAAAGGCAACGTTTCGCTTTCCCCATCCCAGAGCACAAAGAAGCAAGGTAACTTCTGCGGAACACCATTTCCAGAAAGGTAGCTGTCTTAGTCTATAGAAGCAAAATAAAACAGCAGTGGCACTTTTAGAGACTCTGAAAATGTATTCCAACATAAAGGTTTGTGTATCAGAGGTCATTTCATAAGATGCATGAAGTGTCCATCCATAAATCATTTTTAAACCCCCGCATCTGATGAAGTGAATGCTGACACATGAAAGCTGTGGCTAGATAAATCTTTATTCCATGGAGTACTACCAGACTCCGTTTTCTTTCTCTGGAGAGTGCCAGGTAAATATGGTGCAGCGTGTCCGTTCCCTGGACAGAGGCCAGCTACATCTCGCGCTGCTCCAACCTGTCTCAAGACACAGCCACGATGCGGCTTCTACCCGATGGCCAGGTAACAGGACAGAACTGGCACTCTCCATTCTAAGCCGTGCCTAGGACTCATGGGCACGTTGACAGGTGCAGCGCCAGCCTGACTGTTCCTTCCCTCTCCTTACCAGGCCATTCTTGATGCCGGTCTTGGCAGCTCCGCCGCCACCCCCGATCAGAGCCAGACCAGCCTCGCGATGCACGCGCAGGGCATAGAGGGGGAAGGGAGCCCGGTAAAGCTCCGGGGGCCGCCGGGGGGCCATGGCCTGGGCGACAGAAGGGCCAAAGGTCAACTCATGCCAACCCCAGGGAAACTGTCCCTTCACTTAACCCTCCCTCTGGCACGACCTCTGACCCTTTTCTTGCCCGCCCCCCGATGTTCTCCTTTCCTCTTCCTCTCCGTTCCAGCCCGTTCCCGGTAGCCGCGGCTCTCACACCCCTACTAGGCATGCGCACACTTCTCAAGCTTCTTCGCTGCGCAGGCGCAGACGTCTCGGTACACGTCAGCATAAAAGCTTAGCCGGCCGGCACTCGGTGCCTCTTATCACGTGACCATCTCATGGACTTCATATACTTGTACGCGCCATTTTTGACAAGGGCGGAAGCTAGGCAGTGCAGAGCCCTTTTAAAAAGGCGCGGCAGTTAGCCGCTGCCTCGCTCAGTCAGAAGAGGGCAAAGGATATGGACATGTAAATACACGTTTATACAGGCTTGCTTGTGGGGGAAGGGGGGCTGCCTGCGTGCTCTAGCAATTTCCTTTTGTCCAGACTAGGTCGAGTTACATTTCCACATCTGACGAAGGGAGCTTTGACTCTCCAAAGCTTATATCCCCACAATCTCGTTCGTCTCTAAGGGACTATTGGACTCGATTCTAGCTGTATTCACACGTGCCTGCCATTGAAAACTATCTGGAAACTTCAGTTGGTCAGAAATGAGGCAGTCAAGCTGGCGTCGAGGCTGGATACACGGATAAATCATAGCTATAGCTAGGGATGCCAGCCTCCAGGTGGGACTTGGAGATCCCCCCAGAATGACAGCTCGTATCCAGACTACAGAGATCAGTTCCCCTGGAAAAATGGATGCTTTAGAGAGTGGACTCTGTGGCATTGCACCCCACTGAGGTCCCTGTCCTCCCCAGATTCCATTCCCAATCTCCCAAGAATTTCCCAACTTGAATCCTGCAACACCCCCCCACTCCCGCTGGTGGCCAGGGGGGATCTGGCAACCCTAGGATGCATGCTTATTTTCAGGCACAATGCAATATGCTGGTTTCTTACCTTTAACACTAGCGTTACCAACCTCCAGGTGGCACCTGGAGATCTTCCACTATTTTAATTGATCTCCAGATGACCAGGTTCAGTTCCGCTGGAGAAAATGACCACAGGGATGCCAGGCTCCAGGTGAGACCTGGGGATCCCCTGGAATTACAGCTCATCTCCAGACTACAGAGATTAGTTCCTCCGGAGGAAATGGATGATTTGGAAGGTGGACATTGTATTCCACTGAGGTCCTTATTCCGAGGCTCCACCTCCAAATCTCCACAGGTTTCCCAACTAGGATCTGGCAACCCACCCACCCCCATACCCCACTGGTGGCCAAGGAGGACCTGGCAACCCTCCTATGGCAGTATAGCATGCTGAGGTCCCTCTCCTTGCCAAACCGCACCCCCCACACTCCATCTCCAAAATCTCCAGGTATTTCCCAACCAAGAGCATACTCAAAAAAATAATGTCTCCTCTCATAGTGACCATCCTGCCAGTTAAGAGCCTGCTCTCTGTGCCACACCTGCAGATATGGGGTGGGTGGCAGAGACAGGGCTTTTTCAGTAGTGGTCCCCTTGCATTTGGAAGTCCCCCCCCTCACCACAATGTTTATGCAACCCCTGCTTTACTGTCCTTTATGTGCCAGGTTAAGACATTTCTGCTTACCCAGCCTTTTACCAGAAGCGGTCCATTTTTAAAGCTGTCTTTTAATGCTCTGCTTCTAGCCTGAGGGATGTTCTATGGATATAATTTCTGTTTCCTTAAAGTTTTTATGGCTTGCTTTGATATAATTTTACAGTTATTGGTTTAATGATGCTATTGTACATTTTATTTATTTTTAGCTGGCTTGAACAGGACTTTGGAGATGTGGCACGCCACCTTTCTAATAAAATAATAAACTAAACGATAGAGTATGCCAGGCAAGCACACCCTGTTTGGCCCAGACTAGAAGAGGGCTGCCACCGAGCTGGGTACTTGCATACTTCTTCCTCTTTAAAGTTGCCATAGCATTACCAATTGTCTAGGTGCTATATACAGCCTCTGGGAAACACAGCCCATCTCTCCATAGTGCTTCATTTTGTGCTAGCTGACCAACTGTACAATCCTAAGAATGCTTTTCTGGGAATGAGCTCTGTGAGTAGACTAGACTTCAGTAGGATTCTGAGTAGGCCTGCTTAAAATGGCACTAAAAGGCAAGGATGGGAAGAAAGAGGTCAAGGAACAGTAGTGATGGATTCAGGGTGCCTCCAGTGAAAGTAGACACCCTGCTAGTCCACCATTCTTGTTTCTATTTGATGACTGTGAGAAGTCTGCAAGCATGGAGGAAGGCAAACCCTAACCACTCCAGCAACTGATATTCAGAGGTACACTGCCCCCGAGCATGGAAGTTCCATTTGTGGTGGATAGCCATTGATGAACCTCCCTGAAAAGGCCTTGTTAAAAATATGGGCCTTGAAGGGGAGAAGGAAGTGGCCTGGCAATGAGAAGGGGGAGAGCATTCCATGGCAGAACCAAGGAGATGGTGTCTGATTGAGAGAAGAAAGGCCAGTGGAAGATGAAGAGAAGCATACAGTCAAGGTAGAATCATAGAGTCAAAGAGTTGGAAGGGGCCATACAGGCCATCTAGTCCAACTCCCTGCTCAATTCAGGATCAGCCTAGAGCATCCCTGAGAAGTGTTTGTCCAGACACTGCTTAAAGACAGCGAGGGGGAGCTCACCATCTCCCTTGGCAGCTGATTCCACCGTTGAAGAACACTTACTGTAAAATTTTCTTAATATCCAGCTGGTACTTTCCCACCCTTAATTTAAATGCATGATTGGGAGTCCTCTCCTCTGGTGCCAGCAGGAACAGCTCCTTGCCCTCCCCTAAGGGACGGCCCTTCAAATACTTAAAGAGAGCAATCATGTCCCCCTTCTCCTCTTCTCCAGACTGAACATTCCCAAGTCTCTCAGCCTTTCCTCGTAGGGCTTGGTCTCCAGGCCCCCCCCCCAATCCATTCTGTCCACAACCTTTTTGAAGTGAGGCCTCCAGAGGTGTAGTGTTTCGTTTGGACCTCACTACAAAGTCTTCTACCTATCCAGTCTCTACAGGAGCACCCAAGATAGACTCTGTTTTTATGCATGTGGTTTCCAGACAGATCCATTGAACAGCTGCCCTGTAAATAAATTTTAAACGTGAATCTTTTGCTATCCTATCCGAAACCGTGAAGGTAATGGACAAGTTGGAGAAAAGTTGCAGGACCCTGTCACCTTGAGGGCAGCGGGTCTTCTCACCAGGGACAGGACGAGCTGGCTGCAGAGAAGCAACCCCTGGCTGCAGGTGAAGCAGGAACCCCACATCAAAGCACGTGCTGCCTTGGGGTCCTTGTCAGGCATCCAGTCACAGGGCCGAGGAAGACCTAGGAGAGTCTGTCGGCTAGAATGGGCAGTTCTACGCTAGGTGGGGCAACGGTCTGACTTTAAGGCTGGACTCTGGACTGAGGCAGAGCTCTGGGGCTCCAAAATGCTGTTTGGCAGGGAAGGCCTGCAGGGACTGGCAGAGAGGGTATCATGTAAGCAAGCCCCTGTTTGGGAGGCTACGAGTCTATGGGCAGGGCTCCATGGGAGAGCATCTGCTTGGCATGCGGAGTCCCAGTTTCAGTCTCTGGCATCTCCAGTTAAAAGGGATCAGGTCATATGTGAAATGAAAGACTTGCACCTGAGACCCTGGAGAGCCGCTGCCAGACCGAGTAGACAATACTGACTGTGCTGTGCCAAGGGTCTGATTCAGTATAAGGCAGCTTCATGTGTCCATTTCTTCTCAGTGCTGATCTCTAGTCCGGAGGGGGTTCTCTCTGAGGAGAGGAGCCTGGGTGGAGCTGGCCAAGCTATCCCAGAGCAGCAGCAGCAGGGGGCTGGGCTGGTGCTTGGACCTCCCAGGAAAGCTGTGCACGGCATGGGTGGTTGGGAGACTGGGCTGGTTCCCAGGGAATCCGACAGGAGCCAGCATCTCTCTCTGCCACAGCAAAGCGGTAGCTAGAACTTCTTCTCTCCCCGGGAACCGCCAGCTGCTGATGAAGTGCACGGGTGCCTTTTGGCCTCTGTACCAACAGCTGGAAGGATGGCTGAGCTGAAGGGGGTTGGTGCCGCTCAGGAGATACCCGTACTAGATATTGGAACCCTGGAACTAGCTCATCTCCCACACTGCGGGAGCTGCAAAGACATCCAGAGGAAAACCTGGTCATCCTTCGGCAACAGGAGGACGGGAGGAGCAGAACTGGGCAGGGGCCAGAGGAGAAACAGCAGAAGAGTGGCCCCACTGCCTTGCGATGGACCACAGACCTCCGCCACAAAGAGGGTAATTGATGGGGCACGCTTGCGGGGAGTAGCAGGGGATGCTTCACACTTTGGGGTCGGCAGGTGTATTGACAGTACAACCCTAAGTGCACTGACTTCAGTGGACTTAGAAAGGTGTAACTCTGTTTAGGACTGCACTGTTATTACAGGATTTGGAATATCTGGAGCTGGGAAGTCTTGAAGGCGCTTTCTGAAATGGGCTTAAATTAGTGTAATTGTTGAAGAGGATGAAGCTGCAGTGCTTGAAGAACCGGGGAAGGCGGGCGGACTGTGCAGGTGGGGTGGAACCGGACCACTCCAGTTCTAGGTGGAGCATTGGGGGCGGGGGGGCAGGTGGCCACTCTAAGCAGCTGGGGTGGGGGGCAAGTCCATTTGTCTGTGTCTCTCAGGCTGCCGCCGCCGCCTTTCCTCAGGGCCAGAGGCGTGCTGCTCTCACCCACAGAGCTGCCACGGGGGCACAGTGCCCGATGAATGCTGCTCGGGAGCGAAGCCGGGTACGGACTCTCCATCAGGCGTTCTTGGCGCTGCAAGCGGCTCTGCCCACGGTCCCACCTGACACCAAGCTCTCCAAGTTGGATGTGCTCCTCCTGGCCGCCAGCTACATCGCCCACCTGAGCTGGACCCTTGCGCAGGGGGCCCCCACCCCCAGGATGGCCCCGACAGCCTTCTTGCACCCCCTGAAGGTACTGGGTGAGACTGGTTAGGCATCATTAGGGGAAAGCAGCTGCTAGGTAACCCCTTACGGTGGCCTTTCCCTGGTCACATCTCAGCCTGTGGTCCCTTGGAGGGGTGGCAAAATGGATGCGTAGGAGATGGCCCAGGCCACCTCATCAGCTCTCGGAAGCTATGCAAGGTTGGTCCTGGCTGCTGTTTGGAGGAGAGGAATGCCAGGGTCACTGTGCAGAGGAAGACAATGGCAAGCCACCTCTGAACGTCTCTTGCCTTTAAAACCCTATAGAGGGTTTCCATAAGCTGGCTGCAACTTGATCGCAAAAGGGGAGGGGGGGATGCTGTAGCAGGTTGGGGTAGAAGGAAGGCAGGGCTGGGGGCATCTGCATGACAACCCCCAATTATCTGGGGTGGGGTGCCACTGAATGTCATGGCCCTGGAAGCCCCTATGGAGAGCCAGTTTGGTGTAATGGTTAGGAGTGCAAACTCTAATCTGGGAGAGCTGATTTAGATTCCCCGCTCCTCCTCATGCAGCTGCTGGTGTGACCTTGGATCAGTCACAAGTTCTCTCAGAGCTGTTCTCTCAAGAGCAGTTCTTGGGAGAGCTCTCTCAGCCCCACCTACCTCACAGGGGGTCTGTTGTGGGGAGGGTGGGGTATAAATCAAATCAAGAGAAAGGGACTGTAAGCCGCTCTGAGACTCTTTCAGGTAGTGAAGGGCGGGATATAAATCCAATCTCTTATCTCTCTTCTCTTCCGTAGTGGCCCCCTTGTGTTTTATTAAAGAGCAGAAGCCTTTTGAGGGCACAAAGGGTTTGGGGATTCCTTCCTGTAACCTTTGACCTCTTCTTTCTTGCAGAAGTGGCCCATGCGGTCCTGCCTCTATGCCAGTTCCTGGACCGGAGACATCCCCACACCAGCCCTCTTCAGTGGGTGGCCCCAGCCATGTCCTGAGGCAAGAGGAGCAACTCTGTGACCCCCGGCAGTGCCCTCCTCCGTAAACTGCCCCGTAGTGGCTTCTGATGGTGATGGCTGTTTCTCTTCCCTCTATGGCAGAACTCTTGCTGCACAGGGGGAAATCTGCAGGCCTTTCCTTGCCCTCTTCTCCCCCCCTCACCTGCCAGCCAGCTTCAGAGGGAGAGCTCACCCCGCTTTGCGCTAGGATCCCCCCCTTTGTCCTAGCTGTCCACCCCTTTAATGGGAGAGCCTTTCAAGGTTTACGGTGACCATCACTTAGTTGTACCGTTTCCCCAATTAAATGGGGAACAGTTAGGTCACTGATACCTGAATGGCTACATCAGAATGGCTTCTAGCCATGATGATTGCCTACTCCCACCAGCATCAGAGGCAGTGTGTCTGCATATGTCAGTTGCTGGGGAGCATGGGTGGGAAGATGTTGTTATATTCATCCTCTTGCGGGCTTCCTAGAGGCAGCTGATCGACCACTGTGTGAACAGAATGCTGGACTAGACGGGTCCTTGGTCTGATCCAGCAGGGATCAGTATGTTCTTATGGTCATTATTGTTCTACACAGCAATTTGTTTTTCAAAAGGATGAGAGGATTACCAACAAAAATATATCTGACCGTATCGTTCTATGTAAAACTACTCCTATTTTTATTGCTCCCCCCTGTGTGTAAAAACAGACTTATTTTCCCTCCTCCTTCTCTTTTGAAAATATGGATTTTTGAAGCTGAAAACAAGACTGTCTGGATTGCATTGGGACATACGATTTTTGCCTTCACACAGAGACATTGTTTCACAGTATGTTTTCCATTTGCACCAGATGCCGCTGTTGCATGACAAAAGATTAATAAACAAGGTAAACAAAGAGCACCTGTTCCTCCCAGTGCCTCTCTGGGCCTGTGAGGATACGCAGAGCGCCTTTCAGTACCCAGAGCAAAGAATAAGGCAGCAGGCCTTCCAGCTTCGAAGGTTATGGGAGTCCAGGCAGCTCTAGGGCCCAGCTCGAGCCCCTGGGGTGAGATAATGTGAGGTGAGGAATTATTCCTTTCTGCGGCAGTTCACGGGTGCTGTCGGACCAGTTGGCATCCCAGTAGCAAGTTGCAATAGCCCCCCCCAGACACCCCCCCCCATGTGGGGAAAAGACTGGGGAGTAGCAGCTGCAGCTGTTCTCTGGGAAAGAGGCCGGGGCCAAGGCTGAGCACATAAATCCATCCTGGGCCTGGACTGGAGCCTGGGCTAACGAGCCCATTAATGAGTCGGCCTCCTGCCTTTCTCTTCCAGGTACTGGCAGGGACATATCCGATGAGGCGGGGCATGTCCGCTAGCTATTTTTAGGGGCTGCTTGACCTTTTACATTCTCAAGAAAAGTTGGCCGAGGCATTCCCAAGCAGCTGGCTACCCCATGGGTCAAGGCCATCCAGGGCTGTTGGCTGGGAGATGCAGGAAGACTGTGGGACGGGGAGTCTCAGATCAAGGGCGGCTGGGGGATGACGGAATCCCAAGCCCACACTCCAGTCTTTCAAGGGGAGCGGAACCCCTTCCCACATCAGGAGAAGCTGATGGGTAGTAAATTCAGGATGGACAAAAGGAAATGCTTCTTTATCTTTTCTGCTGCTTCAGACAGACTGACTGACACAGCTACCCATCCTGTTCTTTACACAGAAAGTGCTTAAAATGTGGGATTCGCTGCTAGAGGATGTAGTGATGGCCACAGGAATAAACAGCTTTAAAAGGCAATTAGATAGATTCCTGGAGAATAGGTCTATCGGTGGCCACTAGCCATGGTGACGGAGGTGAACCTCTACGTTCACAGGCAGTAAACCTCTGCACCCCACAGCCAGGAGGCAACATCAGGGGAAGGCCTCGGCCTCTATGCCATTGTTGGCCCTCCGGAGGAACTGGTTGGCCACTGTATGAGACAGGATGCTGGACTAGATGAACCACCAGTCTGATCCAGCAAGGCTTAACCCCCATTCCCAGACCAGCTTTAGTCGTCACCCTCAGCACATCTGTCTTGCCTAGATCTAAGCATCAGTTTAACACAAGAGGTGTTCATACACAGGGCTGTGCACGTGTGTAGCTATTAGCCTTAGTCAAGTGGCAGGAGTAGCTCAGAACCCTTTTCACCCGCTGAAGCTGGTTCTCCAGTTGCACCCATTCTTCAAGAGAGGTGACCTGGCCACAAACATACCCTTGTTACTTGCCTCTGGTAACCCTGATAAAAGTCACAGATGCATTTGGTATCATCCAGAAATGACTACTGTGACACACTCCATGTGGGACTGTCTGCAAAGACAGTTCAGAAATTTCAGCTGTTCCAAAATGTTGTCCTGAGAGTCCTTAGGGGCATCTGCTGCTAGAGGAATCAAGTGTTATACCATCTGCACTAGTTTCTGTTTTGCTTCTGGGCTCAATGCAAGACGTTCCGTTTAACCTTCAGTGGCTTAGGCCAGCACTACCTGATGGCCTCCGCCCCATCGACCAGCTTGAGACTTAAAGTCAGCCGAGGGGCCCTTCCTCCAAGACAGTCTTACCAGAGGTTTGGTTGGCGGGAGCCCAGAAGTGGGCTTTTGGAGTCTGCTCAGAAGGGCAGCTGGCCGCACCCTGATTAGATAGCCAGGGGCATGTAAAGCGGTGCTTTACATCTGTAGCACTGCTTCCACCAGTAATGTACCCAGGTCCAATGTTCCCTCTAAGCTGTGGAGTCTTGTGAGCAAAAATCCTACTTTGTGAGCTATGGGCATTAAAGTTGTGAGCGAGCCATTAGGTTGCTGCATAAATTAGTTTGCTTTGAGGCCATCTTTCCTGAGCTAAGGCAAAAATCTGTGAGCTGGAGGCTAAAAAACTGTGAGCTAGCTCACACCAACTCAACTTAGAGGGAACACTGCCCAGGTCTGAACAGTTTGGGGGAAGTATTCCAAGCCCTCCTCCCACAGATGACTTCTGGGGATCACAGCATAGGCCAGCAGGGAGACAGGCCTTCTGTAGTTACTGTTCTTGTGTCCATTTCACTGATTTTTGAATCGTTTCTTAGCATTACTATTTGGAGCCCAAAGGATGGGGTGAGTTAAGTGGGGAAAAACAGTATGCTAAGCATGTTTTTTTTGGGGGGGTGCTGAGGAAAGCTGCTGTGTCTTCCACTTGCTGCAGAGCTGGAGTGATAGGTGGTTGCAGGCGGGTTTGGAGAATCACAGCAGGCTGCAGTTTCTTAATGACTGCCTTCGTGAAGGCATGCCGGGGATTCACCAGCCCCCTTCCTGCAGTTGCTGGAGCTCTGACACAGCAAGCCTGTGACCCTCCATCCTTGACTCCCCAAACTGATTAAAGCAGTGAACCTTTGCACCTTGGCACGCCTGGCCAAAACTGAGGCCAAGCAGCTGTTGCTGCCGCTAATCCCTTTGGGAAGTTCTGTACTTGGCACGGGAGTGTGCCACAGTCTCGGAGGAAGGGCAGACTCTACAGTAATAAATAAAACAGCTACTGCCGGAATCTGCGGGGGGTGCCCTCATATGCAACTCACAATCTGATGTCATTCTAGCCCCACAGCACTAGTAAGGAGGAGTACATAAAGACCAGGAACTGTTTCTGAATTCCACATGGTGGGGTGGCAGCTCTGGCCTCAGTCCCACCCCCCCTGTTCTCCATAGCTTGCGCTCAAAGGGCAGAGGTGGAAGAGGGAAGATATCAACCAAGCCCCACCCTCCCAATGCTCCCTCTAAGCTGTGGAGTCTTGTGAGCAAAAATTCTGCTTTGTGAGCTACTGGCATTAAAGCTGTGAGCGAGCAACTTGGCTACAGCATAAATTAGTTTGCTCTGGAGCCATCCTTCCTGAGAGAAGACAGAAATGTGTGAGCTGGAGGCTAAAAAACCAAGCTAGCTCACATTAACTTGGCTTAGAGGGAACACTGCCCCTACCCCAGACCTAGCAGCCTGAGAATGTAAACTAGAAATATAAAGTATTCCCCAGGGCTGGTGTCAACATGCCATGAGGTTGGGCAGCTGCCAGGGCCCAGGGCTCCTGGTGGGACCCACTGCTGTTGATTCTCCAACTCATGCACCTCCCCCTGCTATCTGTCTCTCCCTGCCCTTCCCCGTCTGTTTGTTTGAAGTGCTCTACCACCCACGTTCCTGGCTGCCCGGCGTCACTGTGGAAAGGCACACGGGGCACAGTGGAGGTGGTGCTGGCAGCTATAGCAGCAGCACTCCAAGCTGCACGCACTGGCCAGTGTTGCTGGGGAAAGGGTAGGCCGGCAGTGCAGGCAACTGAGCACGGGCAGTGGGAAGGCCTACGAGTGGGAGAAGGACACACATGCGGGGGGGGGCACACAGGTGGGAGGTGGAAAGGTATGAGTGGGGACTTGTGGTGGGCACATAGGGCCTCTGAGCACATATTGCTCAGGGCCTCTCAAAACTAAATAATGCCAGGGCCGGTTCCAGGTTATCTTCTTTCATCTCACCATGTACTGGTGTGTTTTCTTTCCGTTCCAATGAGCAAAGTCTGAAAGCCTCCCCCCCCCCCGCCCCCTGTAGCCTTCCTCTAACTTAAGTGGCTGTTCCTCTAGTGGAAGTTCCTCTAGCCCAAGGTAAGATCCATGCTATTACTTCTGGGGAAGGACTGTCCATCATACTCATGCTCGGCAAGCCACAGCGTATTTAAAGGGGAGCATCAAAGGAAGCTCATAGGGATAGGTGATGCCTCAGGGGATAGTCTGGAGTTCCAGTGGTATAGTAAGCGCTGTTCTTTCTTTCTCCTGCCTTCACTTGCACAGCCCAAGCACAGAGCTGATGTTTCATCTTTTCTCACAAAGGTCCTCTGGAAATCATCCCTTCCTGTAGAGTATTCTTGGAAGGTAAGCCATTTATTCAAACTGGGCGTAATGCAGAAACTTCAATCGTAGGGAAGTTAGATAAGTTATATGCTTAAGAGTATATAAACAAATGGAGAGTCTTACACATTAGAAGAAGAAGATTGGATTTGAGTGGGGAATCAAACCCGGTTCTCCCAGATTAGCACTTAACCACTACACCAAACTGGCTCTGTCAATGTGCTTTCCTGAGCATAAAGGGTAGGAGGCTTTGCTGTCCTCATCAGGAGCTCAAGATCTGAAACGAGCCCTCGAAGGAAGGGAAGGGCTCCTTCCCTCCCTTCCTCTGAATCCCCCATTCAAGGTTGCTTCCTTATGGGTGTAACCTGCTGCCCCACGGGAAGAGGAAGCCAGGGTCAAGAAACACGGCACAATCACTGGCGAGAACCCACTTTCTGCACCACCACCCCCATATAAAACCACAAGAACCAACAATAACCGTTTTTTTTTACTAACAGCAACACAATTGTTGCTGAGCATCAGAAAGACAATGAACAAGGTCCAGGAAGTTAACTCACCTTTTCACAGACAAGAAATGCATGGTACAAAAACAGAGAATGAGGGAAAAGGTCCAGAGTTCACTCCCTCTCTCAACCTCGCCCCCGCCAAGACAAAACACCAGGGAGGAAAACGGGAGTTGCCTTATAGGGACCAAACTACAGGAGACGTTTGGCCATGAGTCAAGTTGGGGTTCTCCTGACCCCACTTGCATTCCAGACAGCAGCTGGGAGGAAAACCTACTTTCCAAGTGCCGCAGGGCCCCAATTCAGAAGGGAACCATGACGTAGGAGGAGGAGGAGGAGAGTACTCTGCCTTCCCCCCCCCCCCACGGTTATCATTTTTCCAAGCTGAAATAACCTTGGGGGCATTAATTGCCTCCGTGTGGGCCTGCATATGCACTGAACACAGTAGACATCTGCCTGGCAGGGAAGGTGAGCTGAGTTGGGAGAACCTGGACCCACGTCACAGCTGAACACCCTGTGTGGTTTGGCCCGAGGTGACAGGAGCCGCCCA